AAGTTATAAGTGATTCACATACACACACACACACACACACACACACACACACACACAGATATACTGACATCATCGCGAAAACATTCAGGGAAGCTTCCTAGGACCTCAAAACGTCAAGATCTGATGAGAACTCGATTTTCGAAAAACGGGGTAAAACCAATAACTTCCCGATTTTTGAAAATTTTCAATTTTCTTAGCGGAAAGTTAAAAATTTTCTTACCGAGAAATCAATGAAATTTTCATTTGTTAACCTAAGGGTTAATTAACAATAGGATCATAAATAATTTTAAGCTATTAATGAAAATTTCATCAATTCATTTTTAACGGTTAATTTCTAATTTATTTTTTAATTAATGTACTCAAAATTTTCATTGTAAAAAAAATGTATAAACTTAATTTTCAGGATCAAGTAGAAAATGGGGGGTCCACTTGACGTGATCTTGCTTTTATAGAAGTGTTAAATATTTAAGATAAAATTTTTTGACGCAATGAGGTAAAATTTACACTGTGTGATTAACCTGATTGAACAAGTGCAAGAGTAGTTTAAGTAAAACTGATTTATCTTTGTTATTGTTATACAAATAATACTGTTTGCATAACGAATTGGAAATTGACGATCATGTTTTGAATGTATATGACGTAATAATATCGATTATTAAAATAATATTGATAGTTTTGACAATTGTGAAGTTTAATGTTCGATCGAAGTTAACTTATATTTAAAGAAGTCAAAATAAATCAACAAATCATCACCAAAAATGATTTATGCAGCCTTAGTCTGATTCTTCTATTTGATAAGAAAAACTGTTCAAATATTTTTTACGGACGTTTTCTGTTTTTTCTAGATATATATAGCTAAACTTACAACAATGAATTCACTCATAAAAGTCTTCCCTTGCTACGGTGCCAGATTCTTTGGTAAGTACAAATTAGGCTTGGTTCTAATAATTTGATTTGTACTGTAAAATTGATACTAATTTAAATTTATAATTTTAAAGCTCAAAAGTTAAGCGGCATCGGCTAAAATGAAGCTAAAATTTGGAATCATTATTCCTTTGATGTCTTTGGGCATATGTTTATCATTGACCGAAGCCCTTGAACCTAACATAACATCAATACTTACCAGGTCCAGAGAACCTAGGTCACCGGGAGCTGTGATCGCAGGAGTAAGAGCAGCGTACACTGTGATTAATGAAGTCGTTTCACTAGTGACTGGCATGGAAAGCTTTATAAAATTGATTAAAAATGATAACAGCGATGATAAATTTAAAGAAGATGTGACAGAAAAGCTCAATGATATCTATACAGTCTGCACTAAAATTGACACCGTGGACGGAAAAATTGATAAGCTAAGTGGGGTGATAGGAGAAGTTGTTGATCGGTTGAAGGAGTTGAAGTCTGCTGAATTTATTGATGCAAGGAAAATTGCGCAAGACTTTAAAAAAAATGTAGATCTTGTTAATAGAAATTATAAAGACTATTTCATCCCAATTTGGCACAAGATAGACAGTTACAAGCCGCACAATGTCAACGCCCGATTTAAGAAAATCGTTGACAATGGTGTGTTAGATACAGCATTGTCTGAAATGTTGTCTACTGTTGAGGCGTCGCCAAGATCTGACTCAAGTATTTTTGCAGCAATGAGTAAATACTACGACACTAAGGTATGATAATAAGATACAATTCTTTAGAAATTTATCTATCATGTACGATCTTATATATGTTGTATTTTTAAGGAATTTTGATTCTTTAAATGTTTTTATTTGAAAGAATCTATTACTATATTATCAAATCTAACCAGTTTTCTTTAAAAGCAGTAAATTATAATCAAGATTATTATTTTAGAATGGCTACCAATTTCAATGTGAGGGTACTTCTCCTTTGGACCATCTTCATATTTTCTACGCACATGTGATAAAGGTTTTTACCCGAGGTTACGCTATACTTTTGATGTCTTATGACTACTGGAAACGGACATCCGATGATTTTCGTAAGCATCGTTATGGCTTTATTGAATTATTTTCATTTTTTATAGACTCATGTGAGGTAACTGTACACAGCGGATAAGTGTACGCAACTCCTGTATTTCTGAATAAAAAGAGGGACACGGAAAAAAAGTAGCTTTAAAATCTCATCAGGTGATACAAAAATTGTATCACCTGTGAAGTCAACAGAGGTGAACCTAAATTTACATCACCCGGCGATACAATTTTTGTATCTAATGTATTTTAAATGGGTCTAACTTGACGGTGATATACGTATTCTCAAACCTTGAAATATATTTTTACACGCTTTTTATTTTATAGAATTCAAATTTACGCGCGCAAGCGCGCGTCTGACTATAGAATTTGCATATATTTTCATGCTTATGATATATTCGACCAATCACGTTACGAATAGTTTGATGCCACATACATTTCATCTCAATTTTATTATGGGATTATTAGCTTCACCTGTATGTATGGTTGTATGGTTGTATGTTTGTAACCGACTTCTTTGGGCGCGATTTTGACCCACTTTAAACGGCCAGATTTCGTTGAAACTTTGTAGATTTATAGAGGACCGATGACAATACACTAATTTGATAAAATTATTTCATTTTTCAATTTGCAAAATATGATTTTTGTTAATTTATATAATTTTCATCTATAGTCGATAAGGTAAGGAACTTAATTAAAATTTTTTATAATTTTTCTCTACAGTCGATAAGACAGGACTTGATGTTAATTTTAATTTCCAATAATTATTGTTAGCCGATTTTTCTAATATTGACAAATTTTCGAATACTAAGGAGAATTTTAACTCTACAAAACAAATAATAGTTTAAAGAAACTAAAAAATCACGCTATTATAAATAAATCAAACTAAAAAGTAAAAAATAAAATAATAAGTTTAAAAAACTAAAAAACGCTTTTTATAGAAAACCAAACTAAAAAATAGAAAATAAATATTAATAAATTTAAATTAAGAATAGTGTTAAAAATTTCAATAAATATAAATTAATAAAAGTGTAAATAAAAAA